TGACGTGTACAGTGCATGCCTAAATAAAATTACAAAATAAAGATCGGTTAGATTAATCGTTTTACTAATTGTTTTAAAAAGTCTCGCGGGAAAATTTATCATGTGACAAGCTCGTATTGTTGCATGGTCACATGCTCAGGAAAAATAATCGAAAGCCACTATATATTACTATACAACTCTAAACTGGATTCTTTTCATAAATAGGTAATTATATAAAATTAAAAACCAAATAGAAATGATACTAACCTCTTGCGAGTTTTGGCAATTTATTTCTTAGACGATCAAAGTAAACGATTGTTGATAAGAAGGTGGCAGTTGAAACATTCGATTTTACTACTAATCGGTGTATAAATGTTATCAAAGGGGGTAAAGGTTGGTTATCATCACCAAGAGCTCGTACTATATTTGCCAACTGAGAAGCTTGCTGTTGACTAGTTGGTGGAGGGTCGCATGGTATTACTTCAGCAGCTTTTCGAGCGACATGAGCTAATAAAACGCAAGTTAAAAACGTAAGTTAAAAACTCAAAAAAAGTTAAAAATGCAAGTTAAAAACGCAAGTTAAAGAAACTTACCAATCATTTGAGGAGTTATAGGACTGCTAACCAAGAGTTTCAAAGCTGCATCAGTATCCATCATTATGTTAAACGAAGCAAATAGTTATCCTTGTATATTAACGATAGCTTTCGTTGACCGTGTCAAAGTTTAGTTACTAAACTTGACAGATAAAAACTTGACAGAAGAAATGAATGGTTTTTATATAAAAGGATAGCGATCAAGTTGAATTTTTTTTCAAAAATTCAGTTAATAATTGTTAATAATTTTCAATAGTCTTTAAATTATCATCGATAATATCTTCTTTATCGCGAATTAGAAAAATTGGAACTATAATTTGGAAGGACAGTTGCTTTGAATTTGATTATTAAGATTTATTATATTTTAATTTCGAATAGGATTTCGCTTTTCGTCGATAACAAAAAACAAAGCTGAGGAAAAAAAAGGATTTACTGCTTATATATATAGTTATTCGGAATTTATTATAGTTTATTATAGTAGACTCATGCAAAATATATAAAAATATATAAAAATATATAAAATTAATGTAAAATCAGGAGTAAGTATAGGCTCAAATAAAGTAGTAAATAGAAATAAATAGATACACAATAGAAAAAATAAATTAAATATAAAAGGATAAAGTAAAAAAAAATATATTTTTAAATAAAAATTGGGTAAGATCATCGGATTAAAAAAGTCAATGATTTCTATCAACCCCTTCTTTACAAGAAAAACACAAAAGGAAATAAATTCATAAAATCGAATAACTTATTTTGTGATGATGTAATCTTGACCATTCTAATTACCCATGTATGGTCACTCTTATCACGCATGTAAACACGTAGTATATATTTTATACATGCTGTGGTTTATAAAGGAATATAACAAAATATGCGACATGTATCATTAATATAATCAATAATTACGATAGTAAATTAGCAGTAGCCAAATACATATAGACAAACAAATGCATTATTGACGTGAGAACATCTCTCGTGGTATCGTATAATTGGCTTTAAAAGAATTTATTGAAAATTATTAAGAATGCTGAGATCGATGAAATTATTGGTAATTATATTAATTATACTAAATTATACTAATTATACTAATAATTATTAATTAATATCCATTATGAGTAGTACTTCGGTGTAAAAATAGTGTAAACTAGTGCAAAACTAGTGTAAAACTAAGTAAAACTAGTGTTAAAATATATTGTGTAAAAATAGTATAAAAAGTATATATACGTATAAGTAGTGTATAAGTATATCAGTATTATACGTATACGTATCAATATCAGATATGTAGTAAATATAGTAAATATAGTAAATATACGTAGTAAATATAGTAAATAATATAGAAATATAGTCAATATATTAAATATAGTAAATATAGTCAACAATATAGTCAACAATATAGTCAATACGTAAAAGCGAGACGAATAAATTTATTAAATCATACGATTACATTATGATAAGCAAATGTAAAATTCATGTGTCTTGCAGATTTTATCTCGAATTATGCAAATTAATACCAATAAGGAATTAATAACGATAATTTTAATAATAATAATAATAATAATAATAAAATCAAGAAAAGATATCAACCAACGATTGTTAACTAGAACATAAATTCTTTGTATGCAATCAAAACAAGTTTCTTGTCGTTCGTTAACCACAATCATGTTAATCACAATCATATAACTAATATAACTAATCTCATGTCAATTTAACACACGAAAATTGTTTTTCCTTGGCCCACTGTTTCTCATACTTTATGTGCGTATCACGACATAGCCAACGAAACGTGGCGGAGGTTGTCAAGTGTTCATCCATTACCAATTATTAATTATATCACTTTATTAACTGACCAATTAAATTCATTTATTCATTAGTAAAGACTGTTTATTTGGCAAATAACTTGAAAGCTTGGTCATTTCATTTTCCTAATTAGTAAACTAAATATTAAAAAAATTTATTTCTGTATTACCGATTCTTAAAAAATTCTTGATTCATCGGTCTTTAATTATTTAGTGGTTATCCGGAGACGGCGGGTTTGTGGCGGTTCCCGTGGCAGTCATTAAACCGCTCCGGTAATACCATAATAAACTAAATAAATGTAAATAATTCCAAATCATACAATCTATACAATCTATAACAACGGACATCACCATCGTCCCGAGTATGTGCATGCGTTAACTACAGAACTAGACAGAACTAGACAGAGCTAAACAGAACTAAACAGAACTAAACAGAACTAGGAAAGATTCACAATGATCGCCGGACATTCTCCGTACAATATTTTTTTAATAATGATTCATTATTTTTGATTTATTTTGATTTATTTTAATGTTAACTACTACGTATGTATACCACGTATGTATATCACGTATGTATGTATCAACATGAGTTCAACTTGGTCGCGCGTGCAAAAAAAAATAATAATAATGTATAAAAGTATGTACATATACGGTTTTTTTTTTAGGCTTAAAAAAACGGCTTATTGATGTTATTTGATGTTATTGATGTTATTGATGTTATTTGATGGCGTAAAATTAATAAAAAATAATTATTAAATGTTATTAAAGTATTATTAAAATATTATTAAAAAGTTATTAAATTTTATTAAATTT